ATAAGTCAAAGGGTTTAGTCAGATCAGGTAACCCCAGAGCTGGGGAGCAGAGCCTTCTTGATGTCCATGAAGGCTTTTTCCTGGCTCTCCCCCCAGTCAAAAGCAGCCCCCGTCTTGGTGAGGGGGTACAGGGGTGCTGCCATCTCCGCAAACCCGGGGATCCACAGTCTACAGAAACCTGCTGTTCCCAAGAATTCCCTTAGTTTTCGGGGGTCTTGGGAGGAGGGATGTCAAGTATGGCCTGTTTGCGGGCTTCTGTTAGCCAACGTTTTCCATCCTGGATTTTGTACCCCAAGTAGGTGACCTGGGTCCGGCAGATTTGGGCCTTTTTGGCAGAGGCCCTATACCCCAAGTCTCCTAAAGTCTTTAAGAGAGCTTCTGTCCCCCTCAGGCATTCCTCCTCTGTTTTGGTGGCTAACAGGATGTCATCCACATATTGTAAGAGGATGACCTCAGGGTGGTGGACTCTAAATCCGGCCAAATCCTGATGTAAGGCCTCATCAAAGAGGGTGGGGCTATTTTTGAACCCTTGGGGCAACCTAGTCCATGTGAGTTGTCCCGAGATTCCCAGGTCTGCATCCTGCCATTCAAAGGCAAATAGTGGCTGACTGTCTTTGTGTAACCGTAGGCAGAAAAAGGCATCCTTTAAATCCAGGACTGAGTACCAAACATAGTCAGGGTCCCTCTTTTTAGTCCCCTTGTCCATAGGTACTCCAAGTTAACCACAGGCATCTAAAGATTTGCCACTCAAATCCACATGTGAAATCATTCTGGGTCTGGGTTAACAAAGTAATTTTTTCTTTCTTTTTTTTTTAACATCCACCCATTTGCCTGCAAAGTTTATGAGTTCATTTTTTTAAATGGCTGAATAAAATTCAGTTGTATATATGTACCACGTTTTCTTTATTCATTCATCAGTTGATGAACATCTAGGCTGTTTTCATTTCCTAACTATTTTTAACAGAGAAGCGATGAACATGGCCATGCAATTATTTCTCTGGTAGGATATAAAGTCCTTTGAGTGTACACCTGTGAGTGACATACCTGGATCATATGGTTGATCGATCTATTTATCTCCTTTTGAGGATCCTCCTGGATACTGATTTCCATCTTGGTTGCTTTAGTTTCCAGTCTCACCAATAACAAATGAGAATTCCCCTTTCTACTCAATGTCACCAGCTATTGTTACTTGCTTTCTTGATTATAGCAATTTTGTCTGGGGTAACAATGAAATCTCAACGTAATTTTAATTTCCATTTGTTTGATAAAGATGTTTACTATTAATGATTTCTTAGCCATATGCCTTTTTTCTTTTGAGAACTCTGTTCAGTTCATTAGCCTATTTTTAAATGGGCTTGTTTGTTTTTTTGCTTGGTTTCTTGAATTCTTTGTATTTTCTAGACATTAATCTTCTATCAGATATATAGCTGGCAAAGATTTTTTTCTGTTCTATAGGCTGCCTCTTTAGGTGATTAACAGTTTTCAGTACAGAAGCCTTTTAGTTTCACAAAGACCCATTTGTCAATCTTTGACCGTATTTCCTTCTTGAGTATTCCTATTCAGAAAGTACTGACTCTAGCCTTAAGAGTATCCACTTCTCTGTCCTCTAGAAGTTTCAGTTTCACATCTAACATTGAGAGCTTTGATTCATTTGCTTTTTGCTCAGGGTGAGAGATAAGGATCAAATCAAATTCTTCAGGTAGATGTCTACTGGAAGTGCTACTTTTATAAGACCTGGGTCTGCAGAGCTGAAAACCAAGTAAGCAGTTTCAAACTGGCCAATTTTCATTTTCGGTGTCTTGGTACCATGATGTCACCTTCTAAAAACTTAGTCTTCTGCACCCTAGCCCTTGAGTTTACTATAAGGAATACTCCCAAGCCTGCAAGCATGTCAGAACATGCTGGGCTGTTTCTCTTCCCACTCAGTGATTTGAAATTAAACTAAGCTCTTAATCAAGAAAGTTGTATGATGTCAGGGAAATTGAATCCTTCATGTGATCTTTAACCTAAAAGCTGTTATGTCTTCTACTTGGTAATTTGTAAATGTCTGGAGAAGGCATTAGCTTACAATATCTCACTACAATAGTGCATTTCTGGTTAATTTCAACTGCTGGGATAGCTGCTGACTCTGTAACTTTGGACCCAGACTGTACAGGAATCATATAGCCCAGAGGGGAACAGAATAGAGACCCTAGACCGATGGAGTCTGCAAAGATATGCCGTAACGACAGCTGGCATCTATAAGGCTACCCACCAGAGAGATTCATGTCTGATGGAGGTTAAGTTCATAAGCAAGGCTTATGAAAAATACTGCCTGTAAATAACTGGCTGGCTGCTTCTATCTGTGATTCTCTTGTGTATCCCACAGTTCATCTTTATAACAGCTTGAGAATCGTCCCACAAATGCTGGCAATGTAGTTCTTAATTTCTGGGCACTGTTATCCACGTGTACTGCTGGTAGGATGACTTATTCCTACATTATATTTTCTGGTATATAAAACAAGCTCTCATAGTCCAGTCTTAAATTGACCAGAGATCACAGGAGGAACTTCCACAAAGCAGAACTGCAGGTGTCTGGCCTTGTTAGATGTAAGTCCTTCAAAGATTTATGACAATTAGGGCGGTATTGCAGGTGTCCTTGCTATATCAAGGGAGCAATAGCATCTATGCTACCCTAGGCTCCCTTCACCAGCACCTCCCTGATCTGATTCAAACTAGCAATTAACACTCTGTACCAGCTTTTGACGAAATATTTTTGGCTCAGTAGACTGTTTTTGTTTAGGTCTTGAGATTCAGGTTAACTGACTAACCCATGTCCAGATATTAGTCACACTTAAGAAATGTAACATAAATCCATGTATACTTTGCCTTTCCTTAGATCTCTCAGTGGTTTAGTTTCCTCCCTTTGTAACCTGTAGCAGACCCTTTAGGAGGTAACTGGAACTTTTACAACCTGCAGTTGTTGTCAGTCACCAATTAAGCTGATCAAGTCTTTGCCCCGTGGGACTCATCATATCTATGAAGAATGCTGACCCCTGAGAATTTGCCTTGTAGTTTTTTTTTATTGTTACTAGTGAGTTGTTAATGAATATATATTCCATATACATATGGGAATTTGTAACACCAGAATAATAAAGGGCACATAGAATGAAGAGCATGGGACCATGTATAAAGTTATTAAATAAATCTTTTACATCCCCCAACCCCTGGTTCCTGCAAAGTTTTTCTCTAAGGAACCCTGGGTAGGGGCTGGGAGCTTGACTCAAGCTACATTCATTGTAGACTCAGTCTTCTTGTTGCCTTTGGGTCAAGATGTAGAATTCTAGCTCCTTCCCCAGTGCCATGTCTGCCTGCGTGTTGCACTATGACTAAACCTCTGAAAATGCAAGCCACCAATGTTTTTCCTTTGTAAGAGTTGCTATGGTCATGGTGTTTCTTCACAGCAATAGAAAACCTGAGACATGCGAGCACCATATATGCCCTGCTTATTGGAAACCACCAACCTGAATCATTAATTTGAGATAAGTTTTGTATCATTTATCCCGTCTTTATCCTTTCTTCCACTAATTTTTGTATTTAGTAAATCGGATAGAGATGAAATGAAGCTATGTCCATAACTTCCTTAGGACTAAATGGTCAATATATTTTGATAGTTATTGTCACCATTAGTGTTACTGTATTTTTATAACTAACATCTGTTCTATCTCCATGCAAATATTTCACATATTATAGAAATGCTCACTCCTGTTTATCTGTTTAGTAAATGTTTTTCCTTGTGAATCTCAGCTCAAGCAGTCTTCCTTTATGAAGACGCTCTGGAGACTTGGTATTTTCACTTCATTTAATATCTCAAAGCTTACTGTACCTTGAATTTCTTGCATTATTTCACCTAATGTATTGCCTTTGGTTATGTGAGTCTCTTTAGTAGTCTATAATTTGCTTCATACTGGAGACTGTAACTTTTTGTCTTTTTATTCCCAGAAGTGTGTTGTGTGCAGTGTGCAGTATGCAGTGTATGATGTGTTCAATGGAGTGTGTGCTGTGTGCTATGTGCGGTGTGCGGTATGTGGTGTATGCAGTGCTGAGTGTATGCTGTGCAGTGTATGATGGGTATTAATGTGGTGTGCAGTGTATGGTCTGTGCAGTGTTCAGTGTGTGTCGTGCAGTGTGATCTAGTTTTTCAGCTCATAGCATTTATTTTCAAACTCAATAAATACTAAGTGTGAGTTATCTAATCTATTAAAGGTCTTTATATTTTGTATGTTATGCTAGACATTGATGGTGAAATGGTCAGTGAGGTTAGAGACTTTGGGGGAATATACAATATATTTTTTACATATTATTGTTTTTGAAAGATTTATTTATGTTTATGTGTATAAGTGTTTTGTGTGCATTTATGTAAGTGTACTGTATTTGTGTCTGGTGCCTGTGGAGTACAGACAGGGTGCAAGATCCCTTGGAACTGGAGTTACAGTTGGCTGAAAGCTACCATGTGGATGCTGGGAATTGAACGCAGGTCCCCTGGAAGAGCAGCAGGTGTTCTTAATTGCTGAGCCATCTCTCCATCCCTATAATGTTAACTTTATTTTAAAAACCTTAACGACTTAGTGAGACTTGAACATACATGCTTACTTCACAAGGCTAGGTCTCAAACCATTAATCTGGGGAACATACTAGAATTTCATGTTTATCACATATAGTAGACAGATTTTTTTCTGTCTCTGATGGCAAAGGCTACATACCTTAGTATCTTTAAGCCTTTGAGGTGCGTGTATCTGATGTAAATATTTACTAATAAAATTCATATTTATTGGAGATGGCATGATGGCTGTTGACTTCAATACTGCATTAATTAAATTGAATAATTTCATGTGTTTAGCACTAATGACTAAAAACTAGGTAATGGACACATATAGAAACCATAGATAGTAAATGTGATAATATTAGCATGGCATAGAGGCTTTACATATGATTGTTGCAATGAGTTTCTTCTCTTGTAGAAAATTCTTCATGCTGCAGATGCCAATGCTGATTCAGGACTGGACTTTGAGGAATTTGTGCAGTACCTTCAAGACCATGAGAAGAAAATGAAACTGGCATTTAAGAGTCTGGACAAAAATAATGATGGTGTGTGTATGTTTTATCCACAGTTAGCCTGATGTGAATAACTGTGAGCACTAATGAGTAATTTTACTAGCCATTTTAATTTCCTCCTACTGTCAGATCCAATTTCTTATCTAGCAATCATTTTTATATTACTGAGAATAATATAATAGATGTCTTTGGGTTTCTGTTGCTGTGATAAAACAACATAACCAAAAGAAACCTGAGTTTCTTCTTTTTTTGTAGGAAATTCTTGAGGTTGCAAATCTCACTGTGAAGCCCTGGCTAGCCTGGAACTTGCTATGTAGACCAAGCTGGCCTTGAACTCACAGAGTTCTCTCTGCCTCTGCTTCCTGAGTGACAAGATAAAAGGTGTGCCCTACATGCCCTTTATGTTGCGGTAACCCCAACCATAAAATTATTGTTATTGCTATTATCATTTTGTTTGGGTATTTTTTTGAGACAGGGTTTCTCAGTGTAGCTTTGCCTATCCTGGAACTCAAGCTATAGACCAGGCTGGCCTTGAATTTACAGAGATCCACCTGCCTCTGCCTCCTGAGGAATACTGTGATTAAGGGCATGAGCCGCCACTGCCCAGCATAAAATTAGTTTTGTTGCTACTTCATAACTGTAATTTTGCTACTGTTATGATTTAATGTAAATATCTGTTTTCTAAGTCGACCCCTGTGAAAGGGTAGTTCAGCCCCAAAGGGGTCATGACTCACAGGTCGAGAAACACTGCTTTAGCCCTTCTTTTAAAATTTAATTTATTTACTCTTTGAGACAGAGTTTCACTGTGTAGCCCTGGCTGGCCTGGAACTTGCTATGGACACAGAAATCCACTTGCCTCTGTCTCCTGAATACTGGGATTAAAGGCATGTACCACCACCACACTTCTCACACATAAGATCTTAAATTTTTAATAAAATGAATTTTGCAGAAGTTTATATCCTCTAAGTTTCAAGCTTTCTGTATTGGGTAGTCCTCAGGCTGGCCTCAAACTAAAAAAAAAAATCCACCTAATTCTGCCTGGGATTAAAAGGATGCACCACCACAGCCTGGCTGCCCTTACAAATTTTTTGTAATAAATAAGTGGAAAATTTGGTATGGGGAGTTTAAAATATGACATTTGTGAGCTGACAACATGGCTTAGTGTGTGAGAGTACTTGCCTGGCAAGCCAAGCACTCTTGAGGTAATTTCTGGAACCTAGTATAAAAGTACAAGGAGAGAGACACTCTTGAAAGTTTTCCTCGAACCTCCACAAGTGTTCCTTGGCACACATGCCCCACACACACACACACACACACACACACACACACACACACACACACACACACACACACACACACACACACACACGGCACTCTAAAAACTGACAGTCTTGATGATATTTGTTTCAGGAAATTTAGGTAATGCAGACAATCTTCTGAAAGAAAACAAAAAATGCTTATAACCGTACTCTTAGTTTCTTTTCCAATTGTTGTGATAAAATACTTTCAATAAGGGAAGTCACAAAAGCCCCACCCCCCCAAGCTATATGGATGGTAAGAATATTGCTGAAGACACCACTCTGTGGTCATAGAACATGGAGAAATAGGTTGATACTGACCTGGGAACAGTGCCCCCTGCTGGCTAGTCTTCATAGTGCTGAAGGAATGATGCAGGCTTCTGCATCTGTGGACTTTGAGAGCGAGATATATCCATGGTGCAATAGTTTCATGAATGTTATAGGGGTAACTGCTTCCTGGTTGGATTTTAGGCTTGCTGCAAAGGAGAGAAATCTTGTCTGGTACTATAAACCTGTTGAAGAGTGGGAGGTGAGGAGATCATAGGGCCTCAGGGGGAACCACTATGTTTTTTCTAAGTCAATGCCTGGTCACCCTGCTTTCTACACATTTATATCCAAAGATTAGTGCTGCTCTCAGCCTTTGTCAGAGAAGCATCTTATGGCAGTGGGCAGGGTTACTGCAGACTCATAGCTGGTTGACTTGCCAGGAGTAAAGGATGGTAGAATGCTTGGCTGTAAATAGATCCCCTGTATTCCTCCCTCCAGTACTCAAGGGAACATCGTGAAAGAGAAAAGCCGAAAGAGCAAAACAGCCAGAGGATGGGGGGATGTGTGGAAGGACATGACTGCTACACTCATGAGCTCACAATGGCTGTGGTTACCTGCACAAGAGCTGCCTATGATTGGGCTTGCCCACCTATCCTCATGAGCCCCACCCTCCTTAGGAACTTTGAGCCCTTAATGGTGGCTAGGGGAAGAGGTGTCACTTTTTCAGTGATGTAGTTCCTGATAACTTGCCCATGTGCCAGTTAATGTAGCCTCCTGCTCATGGCCTCACAAACAACCCCAGTTAGACTCAGTGGGTCACACAGGCAAAGACATGGGCATAGCACAGGGATTTCTTGGGAAGACAAAAGGTTTCTTTGGGAGAAGAGGCGTTAGAGAGGGTATTATAGTAAGGTATGAAAATTTACTAAAATTTATTACGTACATATATGAAACTATCAAAGAAAAACTGACAAAAGCAGCAGAAAATAGAAAGGGTTTATTCTGGTTCGCAGTTCAAGGGTACAGTCCATCCTGGTGGGAATCAGAGTGGCGGGGCTTGAAGCAGCTGGTCCACAGAGAGATGAATGAATTCCAGTTTGCTTTCTCTAATACATAGTTTAGGATCCATCTAGGGAATGGTGCCACCCACAGCGGACAAGGGTTCCCTTCTCAATACAATCAAGATTATCCCCCAGGGATGCCAGAAGGTGATTCTGTCAAGTTGACAGCTAACACTGCTACTTAGAAATCACTTTTTACATTTTAATCAGTTTCACAATTCCTTATAGACTTTTTGTTTCTTGGTTTCTTTTTTCTTTAAATGAACTCCCACTCACATATGTATAGTTTTGTGTCCCATGTTTCTTTTAATGTTATATTGTGTTTTCATTTCTTTTGCAAACATAAGTTTTAGTGGCTTGGAAATATTCCAGTTGTATGACTGTCCTGGAAAGAATGAAGATAGTCTAGAGACACTATGCCCCTACTCCATTTGGCTGTCAGACTATGGAAACAATGGATCTCAGGACATAGGAATTTCCTAAGGAATGTTATGCTGGGAGAAGGAAAAGACTGGTTCTTTGCTTCCATCAGAAGGGGAGGTTTTCTCATGTTGCCGCAAAGGAGAGGCTGGAGCTGGGACCATGGTGATGGGTGGCCTTGACGAGGACTGCTTCATTCTGCACACCCTTGGCTCTCTGTTTACACCTGAAACACATGTAAAGATGGACCTGATGGATGCTGTGTCACTGAACCTTCTTCCTAATATGGCCATATTTAAGAATCACCCTTTTCAGGGTTTCACCCTTGTATTTTTTATTTTCTTATTTCTAATTTATTTTTACTTTTTAATGTGTGCATATGTGTGCATGTGTCTGTATGTAAGTGTGTCTGTGCTCAGGAATGTGCATGTGAGTGCAGGTGTCCATGGGGGCCAGATGCTTCATATGTGTGCATGTGTCTGTATGTAAGTGTGTCTGTGCTCAGGAATGTGCATGTGAGTGCAGGTGTCCATGGGGGCCAGATGCTTCATATCCCCTGGAGCTAGAGCTGCAGGCAATTGTGATGGCCTGACATGGGTCCTGGGAACTAAATTTGAGTCCCCTGCAAGAGCTGTACACATTCTTAATAATCAAGTCATCTCTCCAACCTCATTTCGTTTTTAATTGTCTTGTTGAGGACAGGTGGCCCAGTGTGGCGTGTTAGTCTGGCTGTGACCCTACTCTGGTAGCAGTATGTGAATTACCTAATCTCATTCTCATATTGTTAGACATCTAAGATAGTTCTGATCATTTATAAACAGTAGTGCAGTCATTATTTATGTGGGTTTCCAGACCTAGTTATAGCTTGGTTAATTAAATCTGGTCATTTGCTGGTCTAAGATAAACTCTAGTGTTGTTGTGGGATTCTATTCTGTTCCTGACTGTCACCACCATGATCGTTTGTGAAGCTGAAAACCCTCAGATAATTAGTGAAGTTAAAATGCCTTTAGGAAAATATAATGTTTCTATTACCTCTGTTGTGATAATTAATCTTAGTTATCAACTTGAATTAATTTGTAATCTACTAAGAGGCATGCCTCTGGGCAAGTCTGTGAGGGTATTTTGTGGAAGGATTAACGGTGGGGGTGGAGGATAGGTTTGTGGGGTGTGGGTTGGGTTGGTCTATGGGTAGAACGCTTCAGGGGAGACACTCCCTCAGGGTGAGAAGCACTCCAGCAATGTCTCAAGTATAAAGAGGTCTGAGGTAAAAGAAGTTCTATTTTTGCCTTGTGGATTTATCTACTCTTGTTACTGTTACTGCCACATTGGAAGCTGATGTTGGCCTTTGTGATGGTTTGAATGAGAATAGCCCCTATAAAATACGTATGTGTAAAAACTTGGTTCCCAGTTGGTGGAAGTGTTTGGGAAGGATTAGGAGGCGTGGCCTTGTTGGAGAAGGTGTGTCACTAGTGGTCAGCTTGAGGTTTCAAAAGACTTGCTTCATTCCCAGTGTGCCTTCTGCCTCTTACTTGTTGATCAGATTAGAGCTCTCAGTTGCTCCTGCAACCGTGCTTTTGCTCCACCATCGTGGACTCTGTGTGAAGCCATTAGCCTTATTGAACACTTTATTCTGTAAATTGTCTCTCGGTAGCAATTATTGTAGCAATATAAAAGTAAGGCAGCCTTCAAAACTGAACTGAAGACCAGTGACTCCAGGAAACCTCTAGGCCTTCAGTCTGAGATGAGACTGATGAGCTATCCAGCCACATGGACTGAACGTCTACGAAGTTTTCAGCCTCTCCAGCACACAGGCAGCCATTGTTGGACTACCCAGCCCATATTGTGTAAGCCAATGTAATAAATGCCTTTTGTAGTATATGCTCATTTAATCAGTTTTGCTCTTTTAGAGGACACTTGACTAATAAATCTGTTAATTAACCTTGGTAGTAGAAAATGCTCCTGAGGTAAAATAAGTTTGACACGAAGA